AATTTACTTAAGAATAAATTCCTTAAATTGATTATTTTCCACTAAATTTGTGGATGTTTAAGGGATGTGTAGTACAAGAAATAGTCATTCCTTGTCTTTTTTTTGTTTTTTTTTTTTTTTTAAGCTAACAAAATTATTAATATTAATTTTAAGAAATACACAGTCCTTAACTCATATGAGCAATTACTCTCAAATCTCAATCCAACATTAACCTTATTTTTATGATTTGATTAAAAAATAACTACACCCAACCCAGCCAAACATAACCTAAGAGAAAGGAAAAATGGTTGTCCCTGCAGAGTTACAAACCCATATCGTAACTTTGAATTGGGGGAGGAAAAAAAAAATCTCCCCTCTTATCAAATGGAAATGCCATCCATCCGTATCTACAAAAAGTAATTTTGACATCCATTTCAGGTTTCACAGACCTTTGTCTCTATACAACCTAGTAAGAGATGCATATAAACCAACTGCAAGCAATGTACCTTTGATGTTTGTTTTATCCTAGAATTGAACATTCCTCCCACTACATGAATCTACAGTCTAAACAAGCATTTTAACATGAGCTTGCTTCGATGGTGATTTTTATTATGCTCTGATATTTTCCTGTGTTATTTCAGCTGTGTTCTATCCTTTCTTCTTGTCATGGCCTCAAGAGTTTTGGACCTGAATTTGAAGCCATCCAAGATGTGACAATATCAACAAGGAGGTCTATATCCTTGGATGTGTCTGCACCAAGAACCCTCGAGTCTATGCCCATCGTGTTGCTGACTTCTTTGGCAACAGACTCCCATGGTGTTCCTGCAGTCAGATTTGTCAAAAGCTCATTTCCACGATTTACTGCATCTGCCATTGCTGGTGGAATGTCTGGGAGAGCCTGCAGGATGGATTTGTAAAGTAAATTGCTTGCCTTGTTTACCAAGCAGAGGAGTTATTAACTAACATAGCCCCCTTAATTTGTTAGTTTACTTGTAAAATACCCTTCATAAGTGTGTTGTTCATTCAGCTATAGTCAAGACAAGTTTACAAGCAAACCTGTCGTAGAGGAAGGCCATGATCTCCCGGCAATATTCGAATTGACATATCAAGCATTGAACTTATAGCAGATTCTGAACTAAGCAACTGAGCCAGAGTTGGAGTTTCATCAATTGTATCTTCCTTGAACTTTATCAGAAGATTCCTTGAAATGCCATAGTATGACTTTATCTGCAAAAAGGTGGAAGAAATCAAGAATCATAAAATGTAAGTAAAACAAAATGGATTCTGTCAAGAAGATTGCAGAAAAGAAGGGAATTACAGTTTATATTAACAGCTTTCAAGCCAGTAGAACAACACACCATCTAAAGAAATTTACAACCATCCTCTGCGTCAAAGGATGATTTCTCCTATGTTCTGCATCACTTTTTACTTAATCCTCTGCATTTCTCCCCTTCATTTGTTCTCTGATTAAACTTGAGGCATAGTGTTTCTTCTTCTTCTTCTTCTT